GCACCGGACGCACACTTTTGCACCGGACGCACACTTTTGCGTCAGACACACTTTTGCACCGCGCAGCCAGAGCAGCAAAGCTGCTTCAGCCGCGCGTCAGAACTAACTGGTACAAGCAGCAAAAATGAAGCAGCAGACGCGATTTTGCTGCTTTTGCTGCATCTGGTCTGAACGTAGCATAAAGCAGCAGAAGAGGCGCATCGCTGATGTGGGAGCTGGCAGGGAGACAGACACAGCACTGCTGATGCAGAGCGCTATGATCATTCCTTTGAAACAATTTATTAACACCTAAATCAACTTAAAATAACAAAATCTGCCAGCAAAACATGTTTTCTTTTATTATCCTGGTACCTGCAGTTTGAATTACGTACATGAAAAACGCCTTCCAGCCCTTCCCTCCATCTGGCTTTTTGATAGTTCTGTAGTTCTGCCAGCAGATGGCGACATGTCTATTTAACGTCGCACCCGGTGCTTAAATTCTATTTAGGCTCAAAAAGGATCTAAAAACGATAAGTATCAATGCTATGAGTAGTTCTTTTAACATAATCAACTGCATTTTAATCCTTTGTTATAGCTCATAATGCTTAAGCTCATCAAGAGAATGCCAAGAGTGTGTGAAGCAGTAATCAAAGCAAAACAACCTAGAATATGAGACATATTTTCAGTAGTTTCACACTTTTTTTGTTAACTATATAATTCCACATGTGTTAATTCATAGTTTTGATGCCTTCAGTGTGAATCTACAATTTCCATAGTCATGAAAATAAAGAAAACTCTTTGAATGAGAGGGTGTGCCCAAACTTTTGCTCTGTACTGTGCATTGTGCACCTTTAAGGCCCAGTGGTTTTCAGAAGATAACTGAACCAGAAAAGATCCTAAACAGACATCATAAGCAAATACATGCATCTACACACTGACACACACTCTACAACACGCATCCATCCTTGCAAAGTACAACAAGGAGATAATCGATGATGGCACCCAATCACCGCTCTTATTGTACGTTAACTTACTGTGATGCTGATGCAGTAAGACACCTGACATCACTTATAATACATACACACACAAGTTCTGTCAATACATGAGAATCTGATTTGATATGCTGTACAGAATCCCTCAGAGTGACCTGGAACGGGAAAAGTCGATGCAGATCCGTGTGCATGTTTGTACCAATGCCAAAAAAAAAATAAAATCAATAAACAAGATTGAAAACATGCTCGATGACAGTGACACAGAGTCTCCAACGGCCTAAAGGAAAGCTCAGGATTAGCAGCCAACTCACCTCTGCTGACACTGAAGTTTTTAAAGGGGTTGGACTCTTCGTCAGCTGCTTCCGACTCGGTCAAGGTGGAGGTCTCACATTGGTCAGAGTTCACGGCTCTATAGGTAGGCGTGGCCTCCTCGTCTGACCCAATCAGGGGCACCTCCTCCTCTTCCTCTTTCTCTTCTTGTTTCAGCTCCAACACTATGACTCCCCCCTCTGAGCTAACGGGTGGTACATCCCAGTACGCAGCCACGATGACAAACTGAAGCAACGTCCACAGAAGACACATGAAGATCTGAAAAAATGGAGGAAGAAGAAACAGATATCTTCAAAGACTATGTTTTCCACAGAATCCTAGAAATAAGTATCTCAGAAGGGAAACATGGAGAAATAAAGGTGTGGAGCTACAGGTGTTTCATTTAGCCATCATGTGATGAAAACAGACACATAGAGGTTGTGAGCTTTGTGATGCGCAGCGTTTTATTTTAGCTGTTCAGAGAACAAAGCGTGAAAAAACCCAGAAGAGTTCAGAATGTAGAGCGACTATTTCTACAGCTCATTTTGTGTATTCATGAGCCTTTCAGAGAACCTCAGATTACTGATTTTTTTTTTCTGGATGTGGTTACCCCAGGAGACGTATACTTGTTCACAACAAAGGGCCCCAGTTTGAAATCACACAGCCGCAGGAACAAGTTGAACGCCGGCCCTGGAGAGACAGGAGGAAGTGCTTTAAAGATGAGACAAACAGAGGAGGTGCAAAGACGCCAGCCTTAACACCTTGGCGGTTTTACTCAATGGCCTCTTCTCCTTGCAGATCAAACTGCACATCAAAGCTGCAAGATCCTTCCCAGTGTCTGATATTTCTCAGAATACAGAGCAGGGTGCAGAAAGGTGAGAGCAACACTTCTGTCATTGTGGTGAGAGGAAAAAAAAAAATACTGACCGACGAGAAGGCCAGCTTGGCGGCAGGCCATGATTGCTGCAAAGATACCGGCGCGCTCCTCTGGCAGAGTGCTCCGGGTTAGAAAACCAAAGATGGAGGACCCGGCTCCTGCACCCACACCTGAAAGGAAAGCAGCATAAATCTGTTCAGCACACCTTAGAATGGTTTATATTGGAAAAGAAGAGCAGATTTTTTCATTTCTCTCCAACATGGAGGCAAATGACTGAAAACATCCAAACTCTTAAAAGTTAACTCTTATGAGTTAGAGGCTGGCTTGCTCAAGTGAGCTGCCAGTGTGGGTCCTCAGGCTAGCAGGCCTAGCAGTTGCCACTGTTGGTCCCTGAGCAAAAGAACTTTAACCCGCACACTCCCCGGGCGCCGCAAATGGCAGCCCACTGCTCCCAGAGTGAAAATGAGGCATGACTGGTGCTTAACTAAGGGTCCTTGCATAAATAAGCAGATTGTGAGAACAACTTTGCACACAAATTATTGTTGTGGAACAAATCGATATTTTTTATGCACATTATACATATTTTTTCCCCCATGTCTGTTCCCGGGACCCTGGAAGAAACAGGTCCACATGCCAGTAGAGGAGAATCTACAGGTGCATAAAAATCAAGGCACAGAGGAGGAGGATGAACCCATGCTTTTGATAAATATGGCGCCTCATGGTATTGAATCTGAGTGCAAAAAAAAGTTCATAACACAAGTGGAGAGTAGTTTACATGCATGGGAGAGAGGAGTAGTTTACATGCATGGGAGAGAGGACTCTAATTCTTTTCTAGGTTACGTATGTTGATTCACAGCCTTCTGTTGGGGCCCGAGCACCAAAGAACATATTTTATTCTTTAACTGCTTCCATCTCCTTGAACCCCAGTCAGCCTCAGCAGACGGCCGCTCACACTAAGCCTGGGTCTGCTGGGGGTTTCTTCTGGTTAAAAGGGAGTTTTCCTCTCCACTGTCGCTACATGCATGCTCAGTGCGATGAAATGCAGAGAGTCAGTGAGTCAATGCAATCAACTGGTTTTCCTTAAATAGAAATATTTTGAAGAATATGATAGTGTTATACATGTATAAGTAAATTTTATATTTTCTAACTGCATCTTTTCTTTGTGTGAGTCACTCTAGGTTGAAATGACTGACATCAGTTTTCTGTGTGTGTTAGTGATTGTGTTACCTGCTACAAGCCGACTGGACAACAGCAGCCACTTGGAATAGCCGATAAAGTACATGAAGTTACCTGGGGACAAATGAGACAGAAAACAAGATATTTAAATGAGGACTTTCATGATTAAATAAGGGTTAAAAAACAATGCTGGTATACAGACTCCAAAACTACAGAAAATGCTTCACTTAATTGGTTACTCGTTACTCGTCTTTAAGGATTTTACAAAATAATATCACTCAACTTGTCATCAATTAATGTGAATATTTGAGCATTAATTAAACATTTTCTGTCCCTGATCTCATCATGTAGGATCCAGTGATTAACAATAGAATTAAGAAAAGGACTCCCACCTGCTATTTCAAAAAGATTGGAGAAAAGGATGATGGATTTAGTAGTTTTGCTTCGATCTGACCAGACTCCAAAAAGTGGACCTGTGAGCAGCGCGCTCAGGCTGAAGGCAGACAGTCCCAGACCCAGGAAATATGGCGGCGCCTCGAGGATCTGCAGATACCTCCATATTGTAGGCAGAATGACAGCTAAGAAAAAAAAAGGGAAACTCCCAATGAAATTCAGTGAGAAAGTATTCATATACAACAACATATACATATATATATATATATA